TGATCCCCTCTTTGAGTGCTGGTTGTTTCAGGACCACTTCCAAGGTGGTGGAGGTGGTTTTCTATAAAGCTAGCCTGACTCACAGCAAACATTCAAGAGGAATCAGATATCAGTAATCTTCTGAACTTTCCACCATAAGTTATGATCCTGCCAAAAATGCTTCTAGAAAATTTGAAGCCTTTCCTTACCAGCTCTATAAATTCAGTTCTCCATAAAAATGGAAAAGAGAAGCAATGTGGAGGAGGTATACAAAGGCTACACATGGCTTTGGAAGATGTTACCGAATCTGGGTGTCATTGAGAATAGCTCCAGAACAGCCTTTCACCAAGCTCACAGTCTATCTCGGCTCCTGTTCTACTTTTGTCTGTGCAGCTTTTGTTGTCTGTCATCCATGCCATCCTCCCTAATCATTGTTTCCTTTGCTGTCACTGCTTTTTCTTCCTGCTACTTAAGTGTGGCTGACCTTCCTGAATCTGCTTCATTCTCGGCTCTTACCATGTCTTTTTGTGTTGTTTGCTCCTGATGCCCACAGCCTTACTGGTGTGTGGTGACCCTCTCTTTATTTGGTCAGCCCAGCTACATCAGTCCAGGAGGACTGGTACTTCTCATTGATGAACTCTCACATGCAGCAGCCTCCACCTGGCCCTTCATCAGCAGTGCACACACACCATGCTAAAACTGTCAGGAACTCTAACTTCCTCCACCGCTCCAGCTGTGCCTCTTGATTCTACTGCTGAGCACCACCATCACACCAGGCCCCGGCCCATGAGCCTTGGAGGCATTGGCAGTGGGAGCCTCCTCTGCAGATCTGCTTTGCCCTTAATCTCTGCCTGGTGGCACCATTCCTAGCCCGGCCCTCCTTCCTGCAGGCTTAGTTAGGCTGTTTTGTAGTCCGCTCTTCTAGCCCGGCATCACGGACCACATTGCTTTCCATCTGTATCCTCCTACCACGTAGGGTGGAACTTGCTCCTTTGGGCTTTCCACGTGACCCAGCCCATCTGACAAGTGTGGGTGGGCTGGTGCCCTCTTTTCCCTTCCATCCTGCTCAAGTGACCTGTTTAATATTCCTAAGCCTCACTGCTGAAAGGTGGAAGCATCGTTTCTGCTATTGCCTGGCCTCTGATGATCTGTTCGTTTTTCTCTGCTTATCTTCTGTGTATTGTGTGATCTTGGGCAAAATACTATTCCACTGGGCCTCTGTTTCCTCGTCCTGAAAATAATGTCATCACATGAGATGGATCTCTAAACGATTCCCTCCTGCTCTGAAATTAAACCATTCAGCCCGCCCTGAGGCCTAGCAAAAGATGATTGTTTCTTTTCTTGTTCTCTTAACTGTATTCCCGTGGAATTCTGTTGCCCTCAACCAAACCAGTTATTTGGCTTCTGATTCTGTTTCCTGCCTGCGTTAAGGCAAGAGATATCCGTGACATCAAGCTAAGAACTGTGCAAGTGGTATTCTGAAAGAAGGACCTTTTTCCAGGCCCAGTTGTTTAAATGCAGGTCGGAGGTAGTTCCTAAAGCATATTGTGGCTGTATGAAATTTCCAGCTATACCACGCTACTTCAGTTTTTCTTATAATTGATGGAATGGAGCTAGTACGTGTCTACATTTTAAACACTGGCATCGAAAGATGTCCCTGCGGTGATATTTCTTAAGTTTTGATGCTTTTCAGTGGGTTGCAGGAACTCAGCCATCTCTGTCTGGCCATCGAGGACTGGGTGTGCTTTTGTTCCCATTTCTGTCAATTAGAACGATGTTTAACCATATTGTGTCCTTTTGAATGTCTTTAGGGTTTTAAATTGCTTACCTGGAACTCAGAATATCTCATACTTTTTCCTGTAGCTTTCTCTTTATATGGATAAGTTTGAAGAATTCCAAACTACCATGGCAAAAAGCAATGAACTTTTTACAACCTTCAGGCAGGAAATGGAAAAGGTACTTGCATATTTTTAGTACAATATTACATCAAAGGGGATTTATAGACGAGACTCCTCGGCGTGAGTACCGTGTGGGCGAGTCGATGGTGAGATGCCTCCCCGGAGCTTCTCTGGTCTGCCACTGGCATCGGCACGCGTTGTGCCCTCCGTGTCCCCCGAGTAGCTGATGATGTTTGTGCTCTTAAAATTCTATCTTTATTAAAGTAAGTTCCTCTATGAAATTAAATTTCTTGCTAGAAATAAAGTGATTACTTTTTTGTTTGTTACTTGTGTTTTTTGTTTTGTTGGTTGTTGAATCTCATCAGGTAATTACTCCCCCAGCCTTTTACAAAGCCCTGTGACCTTGGAGGTGTAATTCTTTAAAAGCCTCCAAGCCCAGAAGAGTAAGCACACACCTTAGTTGGTTAATATATACATAGCAACCAAGGTATTTAATCATGGATCCATCCACCTATCCTTATTTAACATGGTATCTCCCCCTAAAATGGGAGATTTTCAAAATGGTGGTCAGTCGGGGATAAGTACAGCAGTGCCTGGCGCTTTGTAAGCATTCAGTTGACGTTAGTCTTAGGGAATGGCTGACAGCACGTGCCCTTTAGTCAGAGTCCCTGGGTTAATATCCGAGTTATATCACTTAATGTATAACTGTAGACAACTTGGGTGGCACTCTGTGCCTTACTATTTTTTCATCATTAAAAACGAGGACAACAAAAGATCCCTCATAGAACAGTGTTTCCAACCATGCTTGGCACATGTTAAATGCTCAAATTACCACCTTCAGGTATTTTTAGACCCAGTAATCTGGAGAATTCAGGGAGCAGCGGAGGCCGTCTGCCTGCCAGTCCTTCTGTTGAGGCCCCCATGCAACGTCAAGGATGGCAGCAGTGTTAGCTGGACTCTGGCACATGCTTGCTTACTGAGGCAGAGTGGTGTATCTAAGACAAGGACTCCCAAATTAGCTCTCCTTTGAGAGACACCTCTGTACTGGAACGTGTTCTCCACTGCTGGCTACAGAGATCGCTGTCGGGCGGCATGCAGCCTGGGTCTCCCCTGAGTCCCCACGGCCTTTGTCCCAGTTTGCATGGTGTTACGGTTGTTACATGTAGTCGCCTACAGCCCAGGGTAGCAGCTCTGCCTTCTTGTTTCCCCTTAACAGCAGCTGGCTCAGAGCCCCCACTTCCAGTGGTTGGTAGAAGGGCACAGATACAGCTTACCCTGAATTTGTAAAAACGGGGTTCTTGTGGCCTAGATTTAATAACGTTCCCCTTATTTTTGAACCCATTTTATCTTTGGCAAATCTGAAGTCAGTCAGTCTTGGGAGTTATGAGGATGACCAGAGCTAAGGATGGAAAACTTTTCCTACTGGTCTCTGGAGTCCTCCCTAAATTGTGCTGCCCCTTCAAACTGACGTGGGCTTGGAGATTGTAATAGATTACCGATCCTTAATCTTTCCTGGGGCCCCAGATCCCCAAGATTGCTTTCAAGAATCTATTGGATTAATTTAATGGACTATCTCTCCAGAAAATGCACAGCCATGGGCATTTTTTCATACAACTTGGGAAAACGGAGGTCACCTTGCTTGCTGCCCCTCACTGTATAATGAGGCTGCAGCCCAGCAGTTGAGCATTCCAGAGCGTGGTGACCCAATGACTTCCCCAAGGGCCGCCTCTGGAGCTGGGGAGGTCAACTCTGGTTTTCTCGTAATAGGAACCTCGCTTTGGTTTCGAGGAGCTTCTGGGATCAGCTCTGCTGCCCACAGCCGGCCCAGCTCCTTTTACACAAGCCTGCACAGCTGTCAGTTGGGTGGGGCACGCGCACTAACGGGGGAGGGGAGGGACACACAAAATGCCTGTTTTGTGGTACGGGGTGTAGAAGCGAGAAATGGCACTTGGAATTTGACTTGGTAATTGTGTTCATTCACAGATGACAAAGAAAATTAAAAAACTGGAAAAAGAAACAATAGTGTGGCGGACCAAATGGGAAAACAATAATAAAGCGCTTCTGCAGATGGCTGAAGAGGTGAGGTGCATTTCCATGCAGAAGGTGTATTAGTCAGGGAAAGTGTATTAGTCAGGGGTTTCGTTAACGATCAGGGTAACGAGTTCTGGCTGGGGTGCGAATGCAAGTTCTTATTAGCAGGGAGTTGAACGGAAATGAACCAGTTTGAAGCCCTGCTTACTGCCCAATTACCGAGCCCAGGCTGGAGTGGCAGACAGCTGGAAAGGATCTGGGCTTCGCTTGCTTCTATAGCAGTTGTTTGTCCAACTTGCATCAATGCCAGCATTTTAAGATGGGGCTCACACCTGGAGAAACACTGGTCACATTTCCCAGTGGACAGAACCCACAACAACTCAACAAACTCTTAGACTTCAGAGTGATGAAAAGCAACAAAATGCATTTTGCCCCTCTTATTACAAAGCTGAAATACATTCCATTAGCAATCACTCAATTTCACACATTCAGAACCTTGATAGAACCAGTTTATAACATTGCACAAGAGAAAACGCAGGAGCACATCACTCGCATTTAAAAATGTCACTTGGCCTCTAAGGTGGGTTTTTTCCCTCCTTGCAGCCAGTAAGTTTTATATCTGCTGGACTTTGTGACTGATATCTTGAATTTCTTCAATATTTCATCATCAATACAAAGTGGTTTTAAAAAGCCGAAAAGGATTTCAGTTGTTTTTTAAGAAATATAACAAATGGAAATGTGTGTTTCCCTAGAATAGTACGCCTGCTCCTCACTTATTGACTATTGCTCACACGGACAGTGTCCATCTGGCAGTCACACACACTGATATTATGAGGGTTATGTGTCAGCCTTGGCTGGGACATGATTCTCGCTGGTTTGGCAGTTACGTAATGATGTAATTTGGTAGTTATGATGTACTCATCCTCCATTTTCTTGTGACACTGACTTTTTTCATCATCAACTGGTCCTTGCAACCTAACCATGTTGACTGTCAACTAGTATACTTAAGATAGTACACATGGAAGCTATGGAGAATGTTCAGGGAGGGGTTTTCAGAAATTGAGTATGTTCAGGAGGTGGTAAAAGAGTTTTTAACATAGCTCAGATTTCTTAATTTTTAATGTAATTAACCTATTTAATAGGAGCTCTGGTAGCATAGTGACTAAGGCACTTGACTGCTAACCAGAAGGCTGGCGGTTCAAACCCACCAGCCACTCCTTGGAAGGAAGATGAGGCAGTCTACTTCCGTAGTGATACTGCCTCGGAAACCCAAGGAGGGGTCGCTATGAGTCAGGCCTGACTCCACGGCACATAACAACAACCTATTTAATGAGGTTACATAAACTCTATATTGTTTTTTCTTCCCATGCAGAAAACTGTGCGTGATAAAGAGTACAAGGCCTTTCAAATAAAACTGGAACGGTTAGAGAAGCTGTGCAGAGCTCTCCAGACTGAAAGAAATGAGCTCAATGAGAAGGTGGAAGTTCTTAAGGAGCAGGTCTCAGGCCAAGCAGCAGATGTGGACTTGCTGCTGCTGGCATCACAGCCCTGCACTGCCCTGGAGTCCCACGAGGAGCCGAACCTACCCTCTGGTGGCGCCTCCAGAGCCCACATGGTGGCAGGGCCTGAGGCTGCCCAAGAGACCCTGTGCGCCAGCCCAGTTCCAGGCATCGATTCGGTTGACTAAGTGTGCAAGCACTGTATCAAGAGATATATTTTGTGTATAACTTTCTGTTAGCAGTTAACTATTGGTTTTGTGGTGAAAACTTTCTTACTTTTTCTACCATATCTGTATTTTCTTAGAACTACTGTACTGGACTTTGGCAGTGGGACAGGAGGTGGCTTAACAGTTTGGAGTCGTTTGAATTAATACCTTCTCCTCAGCTGTGTTGCACATCTGTTTGCCTCATTTCGCCCTTCCCGGGGATGCATGTGTTCATCACTTCATCATCTGGGCCTTTTCCCTGCTCCTTGTTGTTGTTGTTAAGTGCCGTCGAGTCGTTTCCGACTCATAGCGACCCCATGCATAGCAGAACGAAACACTGCCCAATCCCGCGCCAGCCCCACAATCCCTGCTATACTTGAGCCCATCATCGCAGCCACCATGTCAGTCCATCTCGTTGAAGGCC